AAAAATTAATTAAGAAATTTAAAGCTGGGGCTGGGGATTTAGCTCAGTGGCAAAGCGCCTGCCTGGCAAGCGCAAGGTTGTGAGTTCGGTTCCCAGTACCGGAGAAAAACCAAAAAAACCCTAAAAAACAAAAAAACAAAACAAAAAAAAAAAAAAAGAAATTTAAAGCTGACACAAAAAGATTGTAAATATTTGGGTTGTTTTTTTTTTGCTGTTGAGGTTTTAAAGTTCTTTTTTATTCTAATATTAACCCCTTAGGAGATTTTTTTTTTCTGTTTAAGACAGGATCTCGCTATGCAGTTCAGGCTAGGCTTGAGCTCACTTTGTAGCGCAGGCTGGCCTTGAACTTGCAATGATCCTCCTGCTTGGCCTCCCGAGTGCTGGGATTACAGGCATGCGCCATCATCTTAGAAGATGTGTAGTGTGCAAATATGTTCTCCAATTCTGTAGGTTATCTCTACTTTCTGCTGATTATTTTCTTTGCTGTGAAGGTTTTTAGTTTGAGGTACTCTCATTTGTCTATTTTTGCTTTTCTTTCCATCCTTTTATGGTCTTACTCAAAAAATCCTTACTCATTCCAGTGTCCTCAAGAGATTCCTCTGTATTCTTCTACATATTCATTGCTTCAGGCCTTACATTTAAGTCTTTATTTTAGTTAATTTGTTTTGGTAACTGATGAGAGATAGGGTATAGCTGCATTCTTCTGCATGTGGATATCCGATTTTCCTAGCACCATTTATTGAAAAGATCATCCCTTCTCAAGTGTGTGTTCTTAACACTTCTGTCAGAAATCAGCTGGCTGTAGCTGTCTGGCTTTACTTCTAGGCTGTCTGTTCTGTCCCACTGGTCTATGCACCGATTTTTATAGCAGCACCGTGCTCTTTTGATTACTAAGCTTTGCAGTATGTCAGGTAGTGTAATGCCGCCTGCTTTGTTCCTTTTGCTCAAGATTTTTAAAATTTCATGTAAATTAATTTTTTTTTTTTTAGTTCTGTGAAGAATGCCACTGGTATTTTGATAGGGATCCATTGAATCTGTAAATAGCTTTAGGTAGCATGGAAATTTTAACAGTATTCCCTCTTCCAACTTGTCTTGTATCTTCAATTTGTTTCATCACTGTGTTATAATTTTCAGTGTAGTAGTCTTTCATTTTACTTGGTTACATTTATTCCTCGGTACTTAATTTCATTTTTGGTAGATATTGTAAATGAGACTGCTTTCTTGATTTGTATCAGATATTTGCCTGCTGTCATATAGCAATGCTACTGATTTTTATATTTTGATTTTATGTCCTGCAAATTTGCTGAATTTGTTTATTCTAATAGTTTTTGGGGAGAGACTTTGGGATTTCCTATATATAAGATTATGTCATCTACAGTGACGGTTTTACTTATTCCTTTTTAATTTTTTAAAAATTAATTTTATTGGTACACTTTTGACATATATAATGATCATAATCATCATAGGAAATTTGTACCTGTACATAGTGTACTTTATTTTTTCCCATTCTCCTCCCTCCCCTTCAATCCTTCTTCTCCTCTCCCTTCATAAAACCGTTTCTAGAGCCCTTTATTTCTTTCTCTTGCCTGATTGCCCTGGCTAAGACTTCTAATACTATGTTGAATAAAAGTGGTAAAAGTAAGCATGCTTGTCTTATGCAAGACTTTAAGTTTGAAAATCTGCAGCCCTCATTTCAATATTGTATTGGCTCCTAGTCCTTTATTATATTAAAGAGTATTCCTTTTATACCTAATTTATCCAGAATTTTCATCATAAATAGACATTTAATTTTATTAAATGCCTTTTCTACATCCATTTAAATGATCACATGGTTTTTGTTCTTCATTCTGTTGATGCGTATATTACTTATGTGGCATAGCACATTTATTGATCTGTATATTTTGAATCATTGTTGCATCTTGGGGATGAATCCCCTTTGATCATAGTGAATAATCTTTTTAATGTGTTTTTGGATTTGGTTTGCAAACTATGTTCACTAAAGACTGTGGCCTGTAGCTATCTTTTTGTTTTGTATCCTTGTCTGGTTTTGGTAATCCGGTAATGTTGGCTGAATGGAGTGAGTTTGGAAGAATTCTTTTCTTACCCTTTTTGGAATAATTTAATAATTGGTATTAGCTCTTCTTTAAATATTTGGTAGAACTCAACAGTGAAACTATCTGGTCCTAGGTTTTTCTTTGATGGGAGACTTTTTATTACATATTAAATCTTATGTATTATTGGTCTGTCCAGGTTTTTCATTTGTTTATGATTCAATTTTGGTAAGTTTTATGTGTCCACAAATTGTCCATATTTTTTCTAGGTTATCAAGTTTTTTGGCATATTTGTTTATAACAATCTCTACTGATCTTTTGTATTTCTATGGTGTTAATTGTAATGACTTATTGTTCATCTCTGATTTTACTTATTTGAATTTTCTTCTTTTCCCCCTTTAGTCTAGCTCAGGATCTCTCAATTTTATCCCCTTAAGAACTAGCTTTTTCTTTCATTGATCTTTTGTGTTCTTTTTTAGTTTTATTTCATTTTTATTATTACTTCCTTTCTGCTAATTTTGGGTTTATTTTGTTCTTATTTTTCAAGTTCTTTGAGGTACAGTGATAGAGACCTTTACCTTCTTTGAGACGTCTCTATTTTTTAATGTCTCCAATGATTGTTATAAATGTCCTTCTTAGTACTGCCTTTGCTGTGTCCCACATGTTCTGGTGTGTTGGATTTCTGTTTTTATTAGTTTCAAGAGATTCTTTAATTCCTTTTTTAATTTCTTTATCAATCCACTGCCTTCGAGAGTCAGTTGTTTAATTTCCATAATTCCAAGACTTTTTCTTGTGTTCGGTTTGTAGTTCAATTGCATCATGACCAGAAATGGTACTCTATGCAATTTCAAATTTTTTTAAGTACCTAGAATCAAATCCAGAGCTTTATACTAGGTAAGAAATTTATCACTTTGCCATATCCCTAGCCTCTGATTTCAGTTTTTAAAAATCTTTTGAAACCAAAAATATGCAATTTTTAGTCATCATGTATTTAAATAATTGGACTGGTAATAGATTCTTACTATTTAAATTTTCATATACTAATATACTATTTAAATTTTCATATACTAATAATTATACTATAAACGTGGAAAACCAGTTCAACTGCACGAAAATAAAAGGAACATTTGTGGATGAAAAAGTAACTCAAAGGAGCACTTGAAAGCCAATCTTTAATATATTATAAGTAACCTGTAGCATAGAGTACATAATGAACTCTCCAAGTTATGAGGAAGTCCAGTCCTTCTGCATAAAGCAGGTTAATTCTTCTGAACACATTCTAAATAGTTAAAAGTAAATGACATAATTTGGGACACTGCTCTGTGTGAAAAAACAGCAGATGCACCTCAAAACACAGACATTGGTAAGATCATGCCTCTAGGCACAGAAGAATAAACTGTGATTAGATTATGTCGGGCTCTTGCCAAGAGTCAGAATGTAAGGTCAAGATTTCAGAATTATTTCAGGTGGTTTTTCTATGTACTACTTCTACTCAAGATGCCAACAGAATGATGGGCATTAGTGAGAGATATTTTGGACATAAACGAATGTAATTTGGGTATGGAAATACTTAAACAAAGTCATGCTGGTGTGCTATTGCTGGGTAACACTACCTAACAACTTAGTGGCGTAAGCAACAAACATTCATTAACTCACAGTTTCTATAGGCCAAGAATTGGGGGTAGCTTAGCTGGTGGTTCTGGTGCAGGGTGTCCTGAGGTTGTAGTCAGTACATCGGCAGGGCCACCGGGGTCTGAAGCCTTGACAGTGGCTGGAGGATCCAGTTCCAAGATGGGTCGCCCATGTGGGCCTTGGCAGCAGGCTTCAATTTCTCACTTTGTCAGCCTCTGTCTAGGCAGCTTGAGTGTCCTGGTGATGCTGCAGCTAGATTCCCACAGGAACAAGATCCAGGCAGTATCTTTATGACCTAGGTTTGAAAGTTATACTCTTGTTACTTCTGCTATACCCTGTTGGCAACACCAGTCTGCTCTCTATTCAGCGTAAGATGTTGTGCAGTCAGGGACCACTGACGGCATCTTGGAAACTGGCTGCAAACAGTAGGGTATAATAATAGTTGCTAGAGCACTGCTGAAGGAAAGAACAAAAGAGCAAATTTTCTAAAGGGGCTAAGAGGCCTTTTCCTTTCTCTTAATGTTTAGGTCAAGAAATTAGGACTCTTAAGGTTGAAAAGAATCAATGGGGATGTCACTGAGATATACTAAATCGTGAGAAGTTTGAGAAAATAAATATGATTTTATTTGCAAGATTCTGGAATGAGAAATAGTATTTGATGTTTCTTTTTCTAATAAAGAAGTGATGCATTTTGTTTGCCTAATATGAGATAGCAGAGACTACAAAATAGAACTGGGATTCAAAATGTTTTAGATCCAAAATAGCTTTCCCTGATGTAAACCATTCTTTCTCTCAATTCTAATTCTTTTTTTCTTTTCTTTTTATTATTTTTTGGTGTTGGTTTTTCTTTTTGTTTTGGTGGTACGGGGATAGAACTCATGACCTTGTGCTTGCCAGGCAGGCACTTATGCCACTGAGCTATATCCCCAGCCCCTCTAATTCTTTTTTCCCATGATTTCTTGCTAACTTCTTATTCCTTAGGCTACCACCCTACGGAGGTCTTTCTGCCTCATTCCTGGCACACTGTCCTCTGCCTAATCTTTGCCTCCAAAGAATCTGGTCACTTGATCAAGTTCTATGCATATTATCTATTAATTTCCCAAACACCTCTTCCCCTACTCAAAGACTTCAAGTGAATGCCACTGTAGACAGAATAAATTAACCTGAATTCCTTAGCCTGCTGCTCAAGACCCTTAATCACCACACCATCTACCTTCCTAACATCACTTCTCACAATTCCACATAAAATCTTTTGCCTCCCTCACCCCGAAGCTTGGCTTTCACCTTTGTCTTTGCTTCTTTGACCCTTGTGTGAGTTTTCACATTCTCAAAGCTTCCCGTTAGCCAGGTGTGATGCCGCGGACGGGTCACAGGCATTGTAGCATCCAGCCAGGCTTGTTCAAAGCTCAGCTCTGTCCTGATGTTTGGCTTCAGGTGAGACGTTTAATCTCAGTGTGACCATGTAGGGGAAATGGGCCTTCTCCTGTGGAGTCAGTGAGATCACATGTGTGAGGAGCCACTCAAGGATTTCCAGTCCTTTTTCTGTTTTAAGATCTTTGGTTAAGTTTGACCTCTTTCATGAGCCTCCACACATCACATTGACTTCTCTTCCTTTTAAAGTCCTAGCAAGTCATTTCTAAACTGCCTTATCGAATAGTCATATTTTTGCTTATTATTTCTCTCCCCAATAGATTTTGAACTGTTAAAGCCAAAGGCCATGACTTATAAGTCACAGAAGTCTACATAGTTCCTTGCGTTTAGATCTTTAGTGAGCATTGTTCTGTGGATTTTTCCTGTATGGTGTATGAGTGATGGATTCCTAAGGACATTGAGCTGTGTAAAGTTGATGATAAATGGGTCACAAGGGTCTTCACTTAACTGTCCCTTAATTCGATAAACAAAATGACTGCGGGGTTGACTGATTCATAGATGAAGCCATCCCTGTGTTCCCATCGCAGCTTGTTTTCATCTCAGTCATACTGTGCATCCTGCTGTGATGAAACAGTGAGCTTGTGTCTGTTTTCTGTGTAAGGTTGTGACTGCCTGAGAGTAGCTGAGCGCCGGCACTGTCTGTGCCTTGCCTAGGTTTTGCTTGATATGAGAGGCCAAAGAATGTTGCAACCATGATCAAACCCTCTATTGATGCTAATGTATAGGGGTTGTGGGTGGGTGGCTTGTTCATAAAACTCTTATAAATTTATAAAGTAGGATTTGACAGTATTTTGTCTTTTATTAATGTGAGTGACTCTACTCTTAGCTTATATTTTTAGAAGCTTTCTGAGAATACTGCATGCCTACCATTACAATAATTAAATCTACTTAGGATATTTTTGTTGTGGGATTTGAGGTAAGGAAAAATGACACAAGGTCTCTAAACAAAATCTATATTGTACACGCATCCATAGTGTATATGTACATGTATCCATATTGTGCATATGTACGGTCCATACTATACATGCTTGAATTAAATAGTGACACATGGGCAGTGGATTTTAGTGTTAGGCTGACCCGCCTTGTGACGTAACTGTGATCTTCAACGTATCCCAGGGTCCATGTTTTGAGGGTTTGTTCCCCAGGACAGTGCTATTGAGGGATAGTGGGATCTGTAAGAAGTAGGGGTTGGTGGGAGACTTCTGGTCATTTGAGAGGTGTCTTAGTGAGCTTTCGCGTTGCTGGGGCTAAATACCCAACGCCCTCAATGTAAAGGAGGAGAGCGTGATCCTGGGCCATGGTTAGTGGCTCTATGGAGGAAACAGTGCAGTGGAAGCGCCTGGCAAATGAAAAATTCTCAAGGCAGTCCAGAAGCAGAGAGAGGACAGAGGAGCCCGGGACGAGAGCACCTCCTTTGAGGTCACACCCTCAGTGACCACCTCCAACAGGGCCCACCTCCTAACAGCACCTCCCCAGGGACACGTCAGTGAGTTAATCCACTGACAGAGCTGAGCACTCCCGTGACACAGTCATCTTCCAAAGGCCTGCCTGTGAGTACGTGAGACTTTGGGGGACTTTCTAGGTATAAACCATAAGAGCAGGCATGTCCTGGAAGGGGACGGTGAGGTCAGGCCCTTTCTCATCTCTTCCACACCTTCCCGGGAGCTGAACATTCCCTTCTACCATGTGCTCCTGCCAGGATGTACTGAGCCACCACAAGCCCAAAGCTACAGGGCCAATTGGCTATGAGGTGGAATCTCCAAAGTTGTGAGGCAAAGTATGATTTTTTTCTTTCCAGGTTGACCAACACAAAGGTGGGTGCTGCAAATAGAAGCCATGACAGCACCTGAAGGAGTCATTGTATCAGCAAAGCTGTTTTTACACTGAAGTCCTGTCTGAGGTTGTTCTCAGGGCAACCACCAATGATGCTATTTTGACATTATTAACACATTGAAATATGACTGTTCATGCTCTGTCCACAGGTTCAGAGCCCCAGAGTACAACACATTGCCTTCTACCCTTTCTGAGTAGTGTGAGGAGAAGCAAAGAATATATTCTTCATAGGTAATGTATACAGTTATTATAGGCAGCTAAGTTAAATGGAACAGTCAGAGTGGGGCTGGCTCTCAAGGAAGTCAGTACAAAAATAAAGACATCAGAATTGTGGCCAGAGGCACATCTGAAGAAGGCCAGGCCTCCAGATAAAAATGCAACGGCCAATCCTACCTGCCTCCCTAAGGAACAAATAACATGAGATTATGTTGTAATTGTATCACCTGGTCCAATAAGTCCAGGTAGGCGACACTGCATCTGGACTCACCCCTTCCCCAAAATGTCTTTGTTTTTTCATGTAGCCTTGCTGTGTGACCTGCTTCTCTAATGGATCAATATTAGCTAAGTAGCTATACTTGTAGTCCTATAGGTTGGTTAGACCTGTAGTTTGACCCTGGTTGTACCCACGTTGTGACTTTGCTGCATAAGTTACCCCTGAAAAGAACCTCGGTGGCATCCCACTTTTGGGACCCCTCCAGTCTCTCAGGAGGTCTCCCTCAGTAAAGCTTCCTAGTGTTCACCTGTATTCCTTGGAATTCATTGTTCAGTATTCAGGGGACATGAACTTAACACATCTGAGGCCTAGCAGGTTGGGAGTTACAGTTCTCCTGTATCAGAGTGAGCAAGAGAAAGAGGTGACTCTTGGTATAAGGGAGGGGGACATTAATTGTGGAAAAGCAGCTGTTTTTAATTGAGACATCCATTTCAATTTGAAGGACTGTAGGCTTGAGAAGAAACTGGACAAGGGCACCCAAGTTATTTCTATGAGTACACTTAGTGATTTCAGAAAGGTAATAGATTTTAGAGTCAAGAATAATTGTCTAGAATTTTTATCCCTCTGGCATTGCAAAACTAAATTAATAACTCAATGCTCCATCATTTATTTCTCCTTATCACACAGATAAAGAAGCCATTTGTTATTAGAACCTAGACTCATCCCTTGTAAATCTGATTATTTATGAGGACTTTTTGTGGCAGAATAAGCAAAACCTGCCTTCTGAGGGGCACTGCAAGGCAGGAAGAGTTAACTCTGTAGACTGTGTTTCCTCTTTCTAATAGCAGCTCTTTAGCAATGCTAATCAGTGGTACTGATTTTCTGTTTTGATTTTTCCATGATAATTAAGTGAATGATCTGGGATGCAATCAAGTTTGCACTAGGGGGTTCATGCAAATGAATTATTTTTTTACATGTAAAATTTTGTTAAATGGAATCATAAGGAAAGTTATTTGCAGATGAAGCCTGGCTAGGTGTGGGCAGCTTAATACTCAATTTAGAGTTTTGAATATATTCAAGCTATCTATTTTTAATGAAGTAAATCAGCAGTATGTTGCCTTTTTCAATTGAAATAATGCTATTTCTTAGCAATTGTGTTGTTTTCATTTGTACTCGAAAGGGTAAAGTTATAACAGAGAGGATGACACAACATAGAAGAAAAAAATAGGAAAAATGTATTGGACCTTTTCTCTTTAAAGAATTAAGGGAGCCCACATATACTCCCCAAACACATAGAAAAACACAAAATGTGGAAAGGGTACACACTATGCCCTGTCAGTTGCTTATTCGGATTCCATAGCAATGCTTGCATCCAACAAGCTGGAGCCAAAAGACAGTTCACATTTCTGAACATAATGAAATGTATCACTGCCACAGTCATTGTAGTTTATTAGCATGTTGTGAGAGGTCTTCCCTCTCCACTATATATAGCATTTGCATTATTTTCGTAGGTTTAACGGGCTTATGTAAATTTGTATGATCCCTGCATTTTGATCTAGCAATTCTTTTCATTTTTTGTCATTTTATTCTCTAATGTAGAATATTCCAGACTTCAGTTAATTTCTAATTTAAATAAGTAAAATTCTTTGGAGTGAAAAGACCAAAGCATTTTATATGAATAATCACACACACACACACACACACACACACACACACACACCCCATAATGTGCTGATACTTTCCCTTGTGCAAATGCCCCTGCAACTTTGCAGTGCAGTTTTCTATTTCTGAATGCTGAATTTTAAAAGCAATGAGGAGGAGACCAAATTCTGCCCATTTCTTGTCCTCCCCATTCACAGGTGCAAAGCATGAAAAGAAACTGAGAGATCAGGGACACGATTTTTACACTGAAAGAGAATACACAGCTTCTTTCTTTTTCTTGGCAATTTGATTCTCTTCTGACAGTTTCTAGCTTCAGAGACTAAACATTTCTAATTGGTAAATGGCTGGTTTGATTTGAGATGGTGACTCAGGAAATAAACTCCCCAATTTAGTGTAATTGTTTGTGAGTAGGTGGCAGATTACTGCTTCCCAGACTTCATTTTGTTTTGGAGGAAAGAATGAAAGCTAATATATATATTTCACATTTCATTGAAATGAAATACTTATCCTGACAAAGAAAAGCTCTGAGACAGAGATTATTTTCTGCTTACTTGTTACAACCACATGTATGAAAGCTCTTTTTTTTTTTTTTTAATGGATGAGGGAAATACTAGCTGAATCTTCTATATTTTCGTCTGTAAAATGTGGACAACAAAAATCAGTACTTTTTGGATAAGTTGCTATGAGGATTAAATAATTCACATAAAAAGCTCAGTAACATCTCTAGCACACAGTAATTAGCCAGGGAATATTAGCTACTACTACTGCTGCTTCTACTACTATCATCATCATCATCATCATCATCATCGTTGTCATCATCATTTTTTATCTACTCTGTTAAATAGAATAGCTCTTTAGCTATATTAAACTTCAGATTTCACAACTTTATATCATGAACCTGTGAGAAATATAAATACTTTGAATTAATCTGCAAGTCATATTTTAGCTACTTATGGCTTATATGTTGGACTTATTTAGTGGCTATGGAAGTAACTTTTCAAAAGATTTTACAACCTCTCAATAATTTACACTGTCTTTTAATTATCGTAGAAATTCATAATATTTTTTTCCTTATTCCAAATCATTTTCTTTTACATTAGCTTTTAGCCTGTCTGGAGTCAGAGATAGATCATTTTTTATAATGTGCTTAAAATACTTGTCCTTCTAAATAATTTTGATTTTGAAGAATTTCGTATTTCCTTGATCTGTAATCCTGAATTTGAAGGATAAACTATATCCTAAAGTTGGCTTTTTGCTATTTTTGTTATTTATTGTGTGTTTGTTTTAAGATACTCGTCTTCTCAAAATACAGAGTTATTATTCACCACATTTGAGTCTCAAGTAATAAACACTAATAACCTCATGATGTAGAAAATCAGTGTAAATGCCAGCTTTCACCCAGAAAATAACTTTTTTGGTCAAATAATGTGGCCTATTATTTCTAGTTTCAAAACAGGTTAATGCTTATTTTCCTTGTGTTTAGTGAATGGATCTAATTTCATGTCCATTTGTGTAGTGATTTGATGATATAGGGTGGGAATTAAGCTTTTCTTTCTTACTGAGGGGGTGAAACAACGCGTACAATTCCCTTGCTATTTCAACTGCTACACACTCCTGCCTGGTGTAATTCTTGGCATATAGTAGGAATTCAGTAAAGGTTTGTAGATGGCTTCACTTGAGCACCTCATGGCAACCTCAAACTTGATATCTAGGTGTGATAACAAATGCGGTTAATGTTTAAATTTTGGAAAATGTATTACAGTATAAGACACATTGCCATTAATCACCCTCGAAACACTTCCTCTAGCTTCAAAAACACTTACCATTCTTGCCACTTTCTGAAGCAGTTCTAGAACTTGTCCTTCAGAGGTGTCTTTGGTTATGTTGGTGTGACCGCCTTCATCCCTGAATTGACTCAAAATGTTTACCTTTTGTGGCCATTTTGACTTCAGGAAAGAGCAGGAAGTCACGTGATGCCAGATTCTGTGAATAGGGTGGATAAGGATACACTGTGATGTTTTTATTTGACAGAAATTGCCATGAATGTTTGATCAGTGAGGCATAGATAAAAAAAAGTGACCATTTAAATAAAAAATTTAACTATAGTAAAAGAAACATTGCTATTAATCTCCTTCCAAATACTCCCCCTCACTTTAAACACACTTATCCCGTTATTCTTGGCAAAGTATCTTTACTGTAATGAACTTTTTAAAAAAAATTAAACACTCACCATATCTTTCGATCACTCCTTGCATCCAAAGCTGAACGCAAAGCTTCCCGAACCTACAGGAGAACTTTTGTGCTTCCCATCTCGTTGAAGGACTGACCATTTCCCCCTGCAATTAAACTGCAGTCGTTTTTCTCCCAGTTTCCTAGTTTCCGTTGACAAGCCCTATCAGAAGAAAAGCTCCCGTAGTCACTCTACTGCCTGCCAACCAAGTGCTGCTTTCCAGTCCCCCCTAGTCTAAATTTTAGGCAGCTTAATGGGCAGGGAAGGGGACTAGTTTTATATTTTGTGTCTGGTTTTTCATGGTAGCTAGAGTCGGGTGGATGTGCAGTACCCACGAGCTATTGAGTGATGCCAGATTTGTTGCCTGAAGTGCCCCTGTGTAAAGCCACAGGGGCTTCTGGCTCATCATTCATTCTCTGGGACGAATGAGACCAGATTCCTCTGTGCACCCTCTTCTTTCAGGATGAAACGTGCCTGGTGAGAGAATCTGAAATCTTGTGTTGCCCAGAGTTGTTCTGATGGATTCCTTTAATGTCAGCTGGCATGTCTGAGAGGGGTTTTTGTTGTGCTAGTAATTAACGATGATTTGCACATTTCAGCAATTGATAGAATGGTAGGCACCCTGCACAACATGAGAAACACCTCTCTTTCCTGGACTATAAGATCTGGTGACCAGCTACTTAAATACATGCCTCGTCGTGCTTGTTTAAACCGGATCAACCACTGGTGCCGAGTGATTGCTCTACTGAAAAGAATTATGTTTGACTGATTTTAATGCACTTTCATTTTTTTTCTTGTAGGTTGTTCTTCAGAAAAAAAAAATGGTTACTTCTTTGAACTCATGCCTGGGCTTTATCTGTTTATTGTTATGCCACTGGACTGGGACGGCATCATCGCTGAATCTCGAGGACCCTAATGTGTGTAGCCACTGGGAAAGGTAATCCTTCTGACAACAGCCTGAGTAGTAATTGTCCATGAGTTCTTTTATATGTTATTCTCATCAATCTGATGTGTAAAATTAGAATCTGAAAAGGTATTGTGAGATTACTTTTCTGCAGAAATGATTAGGTATTTTTAATAAATTGAGTAATATTTTTCACCTTGGTATAATAGAATATATATTATGTGCAAAAACTATATATCTAATTCTAACACAGATGCAATTGTAAGATCCAGGGAAAACATTAACAGTTCGATTACAGTGAGGTCTCTAAGGTCTAGTCCCTGCTGTGAATCTATTTGCAGTAGTTTTGCAGAGCTGGACCTATTTTGGGGACATCGAAAGAGCAGTGAGAAATAGCATGGAATAATAACATTAAATGTTGAAATGTACAGGATAAAAGCAATGTGCCATAGGTAGCTTGAAAAGGCAGACCTTTTTTTTGGAGGAATGGGCAGTGCTACGCGTAGCTGGCATCCCCTGAGATGTTCTTGAAGAACTCAAGAAGGAGCAGTTGTTGGGAGGGGTTCTGGAAATGGAAGGTAGCTTTAAGCCAGTACCACTGAGCCAGTGAGAACTGTGTGCCATTAAGCCAGTGAGAACTGTGTCCAACACAAACAGACCCAAGTATTGTGCTGGAAAAGGGGAAGATTAGATACATCATATGAAGGATACATCATGTGAGTGTCTTCAGGGGGTGGGATCAAAAATATGGTAAATGCTGCTGTCCCCTGCCATCCCACAGAAAGACAGGCTTGTAAAAGCAGTATGGTGTGGTCCTTATTGACCTTATTCATTGAATCCAGTATTGTGTGACTTCTGGCTTTTCTCCATAGTCAAAATGATCGTGGAGGATAAATGTTTTGAATTGATTCAGGATACCAGGGCAGCTCCAGCAGAGGAGCTAAAGATACTCATGAAAGAACACTTCCAGAAAGTGTTCTGTTTCAAAAAGTGGCAATGATTGTGGGATGAGTGCTCAAATTGAGGGGAGTATTTTAAGAGTGATTAAGGCAAAGTGTCTTGCACCTTAACAATTTAAAAAAATTAAACATTCACTATATTTTTATCACACTTTGTACTAGAGGGTAATATGTATTTTTAATACATGTAAGTCAAATTACATCAAACTTGGTCATGTTTATGTATCATCCTCACCAGTATGATTACCAAATCACAAAGTACATATTATAATAATTGTTGTCACCCTTTGTAGGATGCATAAAGTCTAGAGGCTGTCTAGCACAGCAGTGATGTTGTTCTAGGGGCACAGTAATTCCTTCCTCATAGCATTATTTTTTAAATGAGAGTGTGTCCTTATCTCATTAGGTATATTACAACCAGGGTAACAAAACCAGAATTACCTGATCAGTCAATGAAGTTTATGTATTATTATATATTAACATTTTAGAGCTAAACCATAATGTTGTGTCCCTGGTCCCCAAAAAGGTGATATCCATCACACTATACAGAATGCATTCAGTCCATGTCTAAGAGTAATCAAATTCTTGATAGTTCCATCATTACTCAAAAATTCAAATTCAGTGTTTCCTTTGAGACTCAAGGCAAATGCTTAGCTCTGAGACCCTACAAAAATCAATGAAACAATGGCACAGGGTAAATATCCCCATTCCAAAATGGACAGATTGGGGGCATAGAAAGAATCGGACTCAGGGGCTGGGGATTTAGCTCAGTGGCACAGCACCTGCCTAGCAAGCGCAAGATCGTGAGTTTGATTCCCGGTACCGGAAAAAAAAACCAAACCAAACCAAACCAAACCAAACAGCAAACGAAAGAATCAGACTCAATCAAGATCAAAAGCAGCAGGGCAGTCATTAGCACCAAGTCTAATATAGCTCCTATATAGCTCTATAATAGCTCCCATAATATAGCTCTTCCTATAGCTCCAAGTCTGTCACCTGGGGACATAGTGGTGTCATGTGAGCCCTGAAGAGCTGGGGTCACCCTGACTCTATGGCCTTACTGGTTGCAGCCATATAACTTCGCTTTTGGGTTGGTTCTGACTGTACCGTAGCTTTCTTCAGCACATATTACACATTCCTACCATATCCTGGTGCCTCCATTGCAGATTCAGCCTCACTCTTGGTACCAATTTTCTGTATCAGTTAGCTTTTCATCATTGTCAAGAAAATATCTGACATATAAATTTTAAAGGAGGAAAGATTTATTTTGGTTCATTCTTTGAGAAGTTTTAGTCCATGGTCAGAGGGCTCCTATTGATCTTTCGTCTGAGCATGGCAGAAGAAAGCTGCTCATCTCATGGCAGCTGGGAAGCAGGGTAGGCAGACCAAGAAAGAGAGGGAGAGAGAGAGAGACACCAGAAACAATGGCAATGCCCAGGAATCTACTTCCTCCAACTGGGCCGATCCCTTAATAGGCCATTCAGCTATGAACTCATGATCTAACCACCTTCCAAAGTCCTACCTCTGAAAGTACGAAAGTTTTGGGGGGTATTTAAAATCTAAACCATGACACATAATGTGAAACTTCAACATATACCTTGAAAATAGGTGTAAAGTTACACATATATATGCACATGTATACATATATACACACATATTTGTGGTAATAACTATTTTATATAGAATTTAAAGGGAGGACCTCCTATTAATTATCTTTATAAACTTTACAGCACCTTCCCTATGACACTGCACTAGAAAAGTATGTAGTAAATATTTATTAAAATAATAGAAATAAATCAGTGAATATGAATATTCAAGTTCGACTAGCACCAAACAAAAGTCCTTCTACCAGTCACTTGTAGCTGCATCTTCATGGATATCAGAATATTTATTTTCAAATGAAATTGTTGTCTTGCTTTAGTGTAGCAACTGTAATTCCAAGAAACTGTATCTAAATGAAACAAAAGAAAGCTAAATCATTACAAATAACAAAAAGCATGTTAGTGATTAGAGGAATTCTGCACACTGTCTTTTCGGAAATGGAAAGTTCTGTGAATTTCCTCTTCCCTGGTCTCTTTTCTCTGGGAATTTGCACTTTTTCAGCTGGTGGGAATTCTCCTCAAGAAGCCACAAGAGAAACTGCTCTTTGCCCAAACCTTCAATTACTAATACAGAAGTGGTAGTAATTGAATCAGCAGTCCTGAAGCAAGCAGAGATAAGAAATTATGATTATTATCATATCTGATTGAAGTAACAAGATAATTTAGGCAGATAAAATGTAATTAGCCGCTTTGGAGTGTAGCCAAGTGATGACGGCTTCCCTCCTCCCTACCCTGTTCTTTGACCTTAAATTAAATCTTGCTGGGGTTTCTCCCGGATAACGCTTACTAGGTTAAAATCACAATGATGATATGTGTTCAGTGTGTTTGAGAAGAATGAAACAAACAGGAGGAAATAAGGAGTTTTGTATCCCGGTGCTGAAAATAGCACAGACCTGGGGTCAGATTCCTTTTACTCTGAAGTGTGCTTCTCGCCACCTGCTGCAGAGGCTGTTGGTGTTACATGGCGACGTTTGAGAGGGAATGAGGGCAGGAGGTGTCTGCGGGTCCTGCTGACTCACCGGTCCCAGAAACTCAGTGTTGCTCACTTACCATGAAAGCCACAGTGGACCAGACAGTGGAGAAGGCATCTTTCCACACCGTGGCTCAGGAGCAGCTGCTGCTCAGTGTGGAGTCCGGAGGGTTAGCCAAGGAGTTAATTCAGTTCAACCAGCAAGGCAAGCACTGGCCAAAGCACAGTGGTGAGGGTCCCAGGAGGCAGCCCAGACGTGAAGACATTTCTCTTCATGATGCTAATGCTCCGGGGCCCTTTAACAAAAGTGACAACTTGGGTGTCTAATGGTAGCTGGACAGGGAGCAAATTAGGTACAGTCACTTGCGGAGTACTTGGCAGTCATAACGTGAAGACTGGTTACTAACATGGAAAAATGCTTATGTTGTTCTTTAAAGTCTCAGAGTATATGTATGGCATGAATATAATATAAAAAATTTTCAAAACCCTCAAACTCAAAGCATAAAACACCTAAAGGCTGCAAAGGAGCACAGCAAAAAACAAAAACAACAAAAAAACAACCTCTTGATGGTTATGTAAAAGTTACAGAATTTTCTTCCTTTTAAAAATTTTGAGGGCTGGGGATTTAGCTCAGCGGCAAAAGTGCCTGCCTGGCATGCGCAAGGCCATGAGTTTGGTTCCCCGTACCGGAGAAAAACCAAAAAAAAAATAAAATAAAATAAATAAATTTTTTGTTTTCCAAATTTTGCAGTATAATTTATAATACCTTTCAAAATAGAGAGGGAGAGGGAGGGGGAAAGTCACTGTACAGAAAAAGAAAAACATATATAGAAACAACAGAAAAAGTTTGATTTGAAAAGGCTTAGTGCCCTTCTCTCACAGACTGAAGTAGAAGCCTGGGTATTTCAATCAGTCTGTACAGTAACATATTTACTCAATGCTAGATTGGATTTTAGTGTGAAAACAATTTTAATGAGAATGAGGTGAGAAGATTGCGGAGAAATGCTCAAAATATAGAACATTTTCTCAACTTATTTTCCCCAATTGATATATTTCTCTGCGAAAGCCATGTCACTTATATTGGTTTCTCTCAGATTGAGAGCTCCCTGAGGGCAGAAAAATGCATGGAATTTGCTCAATAAATATTTGTGGAATTCAAATCCTAAATACCTTGATTTCTCTTCTATGGAGAAGAGCTTTTTCGTGTCCAGAGCCAGAGAGGTGTTATGTAAATGTATGTTACTGGTGAAATTTAACAAATGAACTGGCAAGAAGAGGAAATTCATGTGCTTTAACATTTCTCTAATTTGAGGAATCTTCATGGTTGCTAGAAATTAGTGAAAAGATGTTTCATGTTTGAAATCAGTTCCTGACCCATATGAGGTGGAGTTGAACAAGATTTATTTATTAGTGGTCACTTTGCTCCCCAAGGCATATGGCAAGGAAGTCTAAGTATTTGTACTAACCTGAACCTTTGGACTCTGCTAGACGAAAATATAAATTTCTTAATATAATATACCACTCGAAGAACATTAATATTTTAACAGAGGCCTCCACCTTTACCCCAAAGGAGTTGTATCAAGAGTGTACAGGTGGTTTTCACACTCGACTCTTATCTGAACCTGCGTTTGGTAGTAACAACAGATGTCATCTGCTGGGTGGAAACATTTATCTAAAATGTATGTTAGAAATGCAGGATGTCCAGAGTGAAGGGAGTATGAACAGTCACTGACCTGTTCTTTTAAGATGTAATGATCAAACCCCAGGGAGGTGAGGTTACCTGATGGTAGTCACTCAGTTACTTGTGTAAGATCAGGATTATAACCTTACCTTCTTCTAGTCCAGTGATCTTTTTTTAAAGCATCTTCTTCCTTCTGCCTCACATTTAAGGAGAATTCCTAGAAATCAGGTGGTAATATCCCAAAGGATAGAATACACATAAATGTTAGTAGCATGTTATTTAATGTATCTCTGGATGGAAGGCTCACTGTATGATACCTACCAGAAACCAGCTGCAGAAAAAACTCGCTGTGAGGCCAGCATCACAGAGCTTTGCAAGTCAGCAGGTTCTGCCCTGTGTCTAACCTGAATTCTTCATGCTAAAATTTCAATGTCGTTCTTTCTGCATCTTTTCTAATTGATAACTCCTATTAATGAACATGGGCTATTGATTGGCTGTGAGTGAGTCAGTGATTATGGCCCATTTTCTTTGTTAGTGTAAAGCACAGAATTTAATGGAAATCTTTAAAAGACTTAGAGCAACTGGAGTAAATTGTTCAGCAAAGGAGATTCTCCAAATCTTGTTTCTTGTAGGCAGACATTAAGCTCTTGAGGATTGTCATAGCACATTGAGACCATAACGTTGAGTGAAATAAGTCAGACACACAAGCTTAAATATTGCATGGATTCTCTTATATGAGCAACCCAGAATATACAGAGAAGAACAGAAGATAGTTTATAGGAAATAGGGAGAGAGATCTTTTGAAAAAGGGAAGGGGAACCAGAGGCGGGGGGAGATGAAAAAAAGAATTAAAGTGTGTTATGTACATATACCAATTCTCCAGGAGGAATGTGGTCATTAGGCATTATGAACATGTGCTAATAAAAAATTGAAAAAAAAGAACTATGGACTTGAGTGTTCTTTATATTTCATGCATATTTCACATTCTTGAGCCCATTGGGGTGTGTACGTTTTTTCTCTAAGGGGAATCTTATTGAAAATGTGTGGGAAAACAGAGTGCGGAAGTAGTAGCAAGCCGTTGGTGTGATTATTTATGCTAGTTGTCTCAGCCACATGTTTAGAACTGATTTGAAGCCTTCTTTGTAGTTTCCATTGTGTTTTATACACCCTTCTACTGCCTGAGAAGTAGGACCAGAACATGAAAACAAATTAGTCCAAATTCCTACCTGAGCGATACGTTTTTTTCTGATTTCTCAAAATGTACTCCATTATAAATACTTGGTAATTAACCTTATTATCTGCATGCAGACTTAAACTACAAACTTTGGTGACGGTCTTTGTTTTCCCTGGATTCCTAGGACAAAGGGAAGGAATTAAATACAGAAAAATATAGCTATATGTTTTTAACTTTGGATGTTTTAGGGTTAGTCATGAATAGTAAAAGAAAATTTCATTTGAGATTTGTAGCATACAAATGTATACTTATAAAAAAATTCAGAGCATAAACCTTTGTCCTTTAAACACGTCATTAGTATTGGCCATTTGGGGTTCTGGCCAAGTAAAAATTTATGAAAATGTGGAAATTCTCTGAAATGTTAATATGGAATTGCAAATGGAGATAATTTAGCCTATAATTGTTTTCTTAGTGTGGATTGATCATTAATGTAAAAAAAGTGGTTCCTTTATTCTTTCCTGTATCATTAATGTCAAAAAGAGAAATACCAATACCTTCCTTTCCCTTTCCTCCAGCTACTCGGTGACTGTGCAAGAGTCATACCCACACCCCTTTGATCAGATCTACTACACCAGCTGCACTGACATCCTGAACTGGTTTAAATGCACGCGGCACAGGTAAGGGAAGCCAGGTATGGCTGTGTGCCTGGCTGCTTGGGAGTGGAGTCTGATATGACCAGAAATACCAGTTACTAGCGAACAGGCATTCAGTGAATTGCAGCTGAGGGCTCACTACTGTCCCAGTCCCGCTGCAGGTCACCGGAGATGCAGGCTGGCAGAGAGGTAGCCCACGCCCTGTGGGAGCTTACAGTCTAAGGGCAGAGGAAATGTCTGTTCCTCGTCATTCAGTTAGCAATATTTCATCCAGCTTCTGTGTGTTGTGCTTGCCTGGGAAAGACCCTTGTAAATACGGATGTCACCAAATGGAAAGAAATGCCCGCCTCAGGATGTTTCTAATAGAATGTTTCTTACTCCATTTGTGCTTAAATTTGACCTTTAGGTAAAACAAGCTATGCATTTTCCTCTGTAAACGGGAACATAAAGAGACAAATCAAAATATTATTATATATCATTAGTTTACAAAGAGGTAAGCCTTGATACCCTAATCTTATTAGTAAAATATTTATGAATCTGTAGCAGTGATGGCTTGAATGTGGCACCTGCTGACTTACTCCCCATGGAATAATGCTGTGCTCAATGTCGCTCCTTCCCACGGGCCGACCCAGACCCCTCTACCTAAGCTAGCATTCCTTCCCTGTCACGTTGTATTCCTGCCTCAGGCTTTAGTTTCCTTCACTGCGTTTAGTCAGTGCCAGCCATTTTATGACCTACTGTTTGCTTAATATGTCGCTATGAAACAAATTCTACAAAATCTGTCTTCCTCACTAAAATAAGTTTTTTGAGGGTAAGAACTTGATTCGTTTTGTTCACTATTTCCTCAGTAGCTGGAATATAATAAGTGATTAATTAAACATATATATGTGAATCAATGAGTGAATGTTGCTTTAAACAGAAAAGCATCTCTTTGCCTTCTGCTTTTATAGTAGGATGACTCTGGGCTGAGAGTTTAAAAGAAATTCTTGCAATTGTAAATGAACGATGATTAGATGGGTATCACACAGGAAAATCAGTACTTTGTGAGTGATTTCAAGATAAGAAATGAGGAAAATCATGAACAGTAAAGTGTATGTCAGTGATGACACACCTTTTGGAGCTTTCAATAATAGCAGGTAGCCTGCTGCACCACACATGCCGTAGGTTTGCCACCACTGGGATAGGTGGACTTTATTAGGGATCCAATGTTAGCAGCACACTGTAAGCGTTAGCATAGATATTGGTCAAGACATGTATTCCATATTTATTCTTAATTATTTTGAAGTACTTTACTTTGTATGTGTTATTATAGCCAGTAGTCCCCCCATTTTTACTAATAGAAAATTATTTCGGATCCAATTGTCAGTCAAATGAACTAACCATGTGATTTTTTTCTTTTATGTAGGATCAGTTATCGGACAGCCTATCGACATGGGGAGAAAACTATGTATAGGCGCAAGTCCCAGTGCTGCCCCGGATTTTACGAAAGCAGGGACATGTGTGTGCGTAAGTAAGACTTCATCCCTTTGACGTGTGCTTGTTTGTCCCGGTGCTGGTTTGCCTCACTGAGGGCGGTGGGGTGGAGACCTGAGGTGCCACCATGCTGGAGCTCTCCCTTTCACTCTCAGCTGCTACTTTCTTGACTTGGGCCCCGAGGGGAGCTTTAACTTTGTCCTCCTCTGTTGTCTCTTAGAGAGAGGACTTGTCTCCATTTCCTTCCACCCTTTAGCTTCTGTTGTTCTTAACGTAGATAGAGGCAGCTCCTCCACTTTGGTTCAGAGCCAGGGCCATGTAGGATAATAAATGTTCACGGAAAAAATAGAACGTGTAACTAAGCAAAAAGAAGAAATTGAAATACATTGTGAATAGCTTTCTTGGTTAGTTAATATACTTTTGTAACACACTGGCCATGTCAGTGCAGTTATATTATTACACTAGGTATTTTTGACCAGTCTTAACAGTGGAAAATTTTACTTGATTTTCCAGTTGCACCTATTATAAACTACTATTGTGATTAAATAATTGTTCATATTTTTAATAATGTAAGGCCAAATTGTTAGAAGTAGAATTGCTGGCTCAGAGATGTACATACAACTAAGGCTTTTGGAATGTTTCCAATTTGTAGATACACCGGCACCGAGTGAGAACGCCTTTTAACTTTTACCCTGTGCCACTTTTCCCTTTGGTAATTTTCTTCTTAATTTGCATGCCTTTGATTAATAATGATGCTGAAGCAGAAAAATTACATGTTTATAATGAAACATCTTAGAGAATAATCACGAACGGATGCCAGTGGTCCAGATGGAGGGAAACTCAGATGAACACACAGCTGAGTGTGCGGAGGCGGGCTGACTGCCCGGCTCTTTGCCTGAGGGTGCGCTGACCCGGGTTCAGCCTCGAAGGCACCACTGGCAGTGCTCTGAGCGAGGACCTCTGTCTCCCAGGATGGTTTGTTAATAACCCCGAGCGCAGGACTTGCGTGTAAAGCCTGGGTACTATCTCATTACTTGCACAGAGCTTGGAGTGGTGCTTGGCCCTTTGTCTTCAGGCCTATCCTCTCCTTGGAGGCCGGCACATGGGAAGCTAGGCAAGCTAGTGCGGAGAGAGTGGACTCCCAGGGGCTGGGGAGGGGAAGGCTTCAGTGTTTCATGACCTCAGCTTTTCATCTGCTACCACCTCTGTCATTTTATTTTTCCCTTCTTGGAAAGTTAGGCAAGTTCACACGGCACTGTCATCCTGAAATTGTGTGGATGGAAATAAACTTTATATTCCACTACACAAGCAGCAAGGCACCCTCTAGACCTTTTAGATGGACACCTTTTGTATTTGCCTCTAAAATTTTCCTTTTCCTAAACCTTCTTAGTTGACTAGCTGCCTCAAGAAAACTGAAACGTTTTTCTGTAGATATGTTAACATGTTTAATGAGCTTACTGTCTGTTCTCCCTGGCCTGGGAGTTGTTGGGGCTTTTGAAGGATATTTTGCATTTCTAGGCTGTGATGTATTATTTTATCTCTGAACACCCAGAGACACACTGACCTCTTGTCTTTTGTCCTGGTCCTTGGGGGTGCCTTGCAGTAACTGTTCTGTGCTGTCCACAGCGGGCACCAGCAGGGCAGCCTTGGAGAGAGAGGAGAAGAGAGAACCTGGGCTTCTGGGCTGTGCTTTCAAGATCTTTTTTGCAGGCACATTTTGCTGCCAGACAGATAACAATCTTCATTTCTAACTGTTTGCAGTTACCAAAAGGTATGGAAATACAGGCTCTTACTGTGTAGTTCAGGCTAGTCTTGAACTTACAGTGTAGCCAAGGCTGCTTCAAACTCAAGGTGATCCTCCTGCCTCATCCTCCCCGGTGCTGGGATTATAGGCATGCACCACGATCCCTGGCCTATTTCATAAGTATTAAAACTAGCTCTTCATCAGGAAATTGTCAAGGACAGCGTGCTGGAGAACCATCATCTCTAAGCTTCAGGGACATTTGTGGAGCATTGCCAGCTCGTTCAGAGTCAGCCTCAAGGAACATCTGGGCAGGCTTGCCATGGGGAAGGGGTCTCAGAACTGTGAGGACAGTTGTGAGGCCACCAGAGGAGCCTGTACCATGCAGCCGAGGGTGACTCCTGCTTAGAGAAGAATGCAGTTTTATGTCTTTCTTTCCCCTGTAAAGGAATTCATTGTCCTTTTATAACAAATCATTTCCGCCTCTTTGTATGAAAAAGCAGATTCAACATAGTGAGTTTAATATAATTGAACTTGGTTTGATTAGATGCTTGCAGTGAAAAAACCAATAGGTTAGGTTCTAGCAATTATACACATATCTGAGCTAGACATATTCATTGCCTTCAGAGTTCACCCAAAGTGTTTCTTTAAATGTGCTTAAGACAACAAAGTAACAGTTAACTTTGACCAGGGTTTTCTGTGTACCAGGCACATATACCACCTCATTAAATTTCTAAAATCTCACTATGATGCTGGCTTTGACACATTAAATGACTCTTCAGTCTGATCAGTTAGTGGTTGGTGAGAGGATGCACCAATATTCTGAATAGAAAATGAGGATACTCTGCGTAAATAAAATAGAAAAGAAAATAGCAGAGCCGTTTATGCACCAAATATTGCCCCACTCCTGTCCATATCATTTTTGTCAAGAATTTCTTAACATTATGATTACATGACTTTAGAGATCAAAAACTGTTATTAGATAATTTTGCCCCATAAAACAAAGTTAAGAAATTTAATTTTCTTCATGGATTCACTTGTGCGTGTTTGATTCTGTCTCTTTTTAAACTAACTAAAATCAGTGAACATTTTTTTCTTCTGAAATTGGATTTTTGAAAGGTTCTGAAAACAAAGAACTTTAGCAGAAATAAGCATTCAACAGACATGGTTCAGTCTCCATGGGCCAGGAGCCAGCTTAATAATCTCGCTGGTGCACCCGGTGGGGCTTGGGGACAGGGGTTGCTGTCTTGGGTACAGGCGAGTCTTGGGGACAGGGGTTGCTACCGCATGTTGCTCCACCTCTCAGAAGTCTTGCAAGGGAGCCGAGGCAGGTTCTGTCTCTTTTTCAGTACTTTCCAGGTACCGTGAATAAGAACTGGAGGTCAGAGGATACTGAAAATTCTTACTTGGTACATTTATGGCTGGAGTGGCCTGGAGTGGCCTGGAGTTGGTGGCTTTCATTCTGTGCTTACGTACAATACAGGCAGCAGGTGGTCCCTGAAATGACATTGCATGCTGTCAGCTGTGGGGATTCTTGGAGGAGAACCCTGGTTTTCTTGTTTCTGGAGCACAATGAAGAGCCCAGCTCTGCTTCTGCCTGGAATGCACAGGCAGAGTGTTTGAAAAGCTTTTACGGGGCAGATCTGGTTTGGGGGTTCTGCTGTCTTTCTGGTGAATTCTCAGGCACTGCAAAAGCTACAGGTCTGGAGAGCACATGTTGAATAATAGGGTGTTCTGTCCAGAGACCAGTGCTCCAAACTAAGCAGGCAGTACCAAAGCAGAGTGGGGAATGGCATGGTGTGAAGGCTTTTTAATGAAGGAAACATGACTAGGACATGAGAAAAACCATGATTTTTTGATGGAGTCTTACTCTTTTTATAAATTTATTTTAAACTCTAAATTTGTTCATCCTTGGGTTAGTATTCTTGCTTGATCTGTGTTAAGAAGGAATTTAGATTCATTTAAGTCTTTTTTATTTGGGGAGTTTTAAATATTAATAAAGAAATACACAGAAAAATGAAATAGTTCTAATGTATTTGTGTATATATGTATGTATATTTGTATATACATGTGCGACTTGTATGTTTTTGAGAATGTAGACATATGTCAAAAATTGATCTCTTATAAAAGTGACGTTGACTGAAATCTCAGGTTTTTGTTTTGTTTTGCACATTGTTATATGAGTTGAACCCAGGGAGAACTGGAGAACTGAGCTACATGCGAAGACATGTTCAAATTTTAATTTGACACAGAATCTCATTAAATTGCCCCAGCTGGCCTCAAATTTGTGATCTTCAGTCTCTTGAGTAGATGGTGTATCACCTCATCCTGCAAAATCTCGGGTCCTTACACCTAAATAAATGTTTTCAAACATATCCCAATATGTTTTTATGAACAAATACCATTTCATAATAAATATTCATGTTGTGCATATTGTTGTTTTCTATGGATCTTTGTGAGATGACTTTCAGTCAATACTTTTGGTTGCTTACATCAATCTTGAGATATATATATATATATGAACAATAGTAGTATTTGACATACCAGGAAGCAAGAAATGTGATCATTTTAAATTTGTGGTTGCACAGCTTCTAGGTACTAGTCTCCTCTTTCCGTATACTCACCTAATATGAGCATCCTAGTTGCCAGCACATAGTTATCTGGTGCAACCTGCTCAAGGAGCAGGTCCTGAGAGGGACTGGAGATTAAGAAAAAACTACAGACATATACTAAAAGGAAAGCTGGGGCTGGGTAGGACCTGACCTCTCTGATGGAGAGGCAGCGACAACCCAGCATGATCTGCCTCTTTATTTATACACTGTAAAAGAAGGGGAAGCATGCCACGGGGCCGAAAGTGCAAGATCTCGGTGTTTCTTTGAGAACCCTGAAGGCGAAACCTTCTTGGAGCTATCTGTGCTGTCGTTAATGGGAAACAACACTAAAGCCAGACACCTGTTGGATTGGCCTTGCTCTAGTCCCAACAGCTTGTTCACATGGCTCACCTCTGGGGCTCCGTGTTCTTGGGGCTGGCTTGGCTCTAGCCCCAAGAGTCTGCCAACCTCCATCTCAGCCGTGGCTCAGCTGCTCCCCACAGTTATCCAAAGATAACTGTTATATTTATTACCACTCCTCTTTTGGCTTCCAAGAAAACAAAGTGTGGCTCAGATTCTCAGCAAAGAAGAGAGAAAACAGATTGAACATAGATTCAAATCCAGAAGCTAGCCTATATGTCTAGGATCCTTGGACAATAGATTTAATTTCTAGGACTCTTACTTTCTTATCTGTAAAATGG